TCTGCCTCTGAATATGTCAGACTCTTGAAGACCTCTGAGGAGACATCCATATCAAGCTCTTATCAGCATGCACTTCCTGACTTCCACATCAGTGTCTACCTTTGGTGGCTGCACATGGGATAGATACTCAGGTGGAGTGGTCTTCAGACGGCCCCTCCTTCAGTTTCTGTCCCTCACTTTGTCTCCATATTTGCTCCCTTGAGTATTTTGTTGCTCCTTCTAAGAAGGACCGAATCACCCCCACTTGGTCTTCCTTCTTTATGAGCTTCATGTGGCCTGTGAGTTGCATCTTGGGCATCTCAAGGTTCTGGGCTAATATCCAATAATCACTGAGTGAATACCATGTGTGTTCTTTTGTGATTGGCTTACCTCACACAGGATGATAATTTCTAGTTCCATCCATTCACCTAGGAACCACTCAAATTCATAGTTTTTAATAGCTGAGGAATACTCCATTGTGTAAATATACCACATTTTTTGAATCCATTCCTCCATTGAAGGACATCTGGGTTCTTTCCAGCTCCTGGCTATTATAAATAAGGCTGCTATGAACATAGTTGACCTTATATCCTTGTTATTTGTTCGAGCATCTTCTGGGTATATGCCTAGGAGTGGTATAGCTGGATCCTCAGGTAATGCTATGTCCACAGAATTCTATGTCATAGAATTTGAATTACTTTCATTATTTGAAAACATTTTTCAAACTTTAAGATGTTAGGTTAAGTAATACTAAGCAGTATTGATTAATTCCTACTATTGGAGACAATTACTCAGCAGTCTTGTCAAACAATGTTTTATGTTGATGAGTCTTCACTATATGGCCAGAGCTTAGGAATCTCCTGGTCTAGTTCAAGAATTGATAAAAGATTGGCTAGTTCTTCTTTGGTAATAAGTCTTTCCTTTCAAAATAGTATTTATCTATTTTGTTGTTGGTGGTGGTGTTGGTGGTGGTGGTGGTGGTGGTGGGGGGTGGTTTTGGTGTTTTGCTGTTAAATCCTACAGACCAGAATTCCACTGACATTTAATGATTCAAATCATTGATATTGTCGGCCCCTCGATCATTGGCAGGGTGGCAGTTGTGTCTCATGTGCCTCAGTAGGTGCCAGAGAAGAGAGAGGCTATATTTAAGCTCAGTGTTGTGGCCTGAGATCATCTGAAGAATGAAGAGTATAACACAGGACTGAAGGAGCTGAAGGGGTTCTCAACCCCATAGGAAGAACAACAAAATTAATCAACCAGACCCACTAACCCCAGATATTCCAGGGACTAAACCAGCAACCAAAAAGTACACATGGAGGGACTCATGGCTCCAGCTACATATGTAGCAGAAGATACTCTTGTGGGGAAATCAATAGGAGAGGCCCTTGGTCCTGTGAAGGCTCCATATCCCAGTGTAGGGGAATGCCAGGGAGGGTAGGCTGCAGTGAGTGGGTAGGTAGGG